GAACAGAAATGGAAAGTTTCCAACGAGGAAGAAAAATGAAAAAGGTAATAGCAGCAAAGGGACAGGGACAGGAAGGTTCATCAGCCACTATTTGAAAACACCAGGGACCCAGAGAAGGGTTCCAGCAGCCAATGGTTTTCACACTTATTTTGTTTGCAAATCTGGGGAACACAAGTGAGAGGGCAGCTTGACTTTCAACTTTCGCTTCTGCCTTGTGTCTTTTTGCCCTGGGGGGCCTCACCTAGGGATCCCTGCCTCCTTCTCCCCAAACCTCCTCTTCCTTTTTCTGCCTCAGGATGATGGAGCTGGCTCTCTTGGGAGGGCTATAGTGCTTGGGGGTTAAAGGGAAATGCTTCTGACAGGGCCAAGGAAATATTTCTTTTCCTGCCTAAAACTCTCTACTGTTAGTGAATCCGCAGACTCTGCTAAGCTGGAAGATGCCTCCCACTCCTGAAGTAGATGCACATCTGAGTCCCTGGAATCTGTGTTACCTTAGATCGCAAAGAAAAGGGGTCTTTGCAGATGTGATTAAGTTGAAGATCCTTCTCCAGATGGGCCCTGAGCTCCATTACCTCTTTCCCTAGAAGGCAGAAGGAGGCAGAGGGGGACTTGCCACACACAGAGAAGGCTGCGGGAACAGAGTAGACTCAAAGATGCTTGGTGTTGAAGACTGGAGAGATGAGGCCACAGGCCAGGGTGTGCAGGCAGCCACCAAAAGCTGGAAGGGGCAAGGAACAGACCTTCCCCTAGAGCTTCCAGGGGAGCACGAGACCCTGCCCACACCCCCATTCAGCACAGCAATACTGACCCCAGACTTCTGCATTCCAAAATCAAGAGAAACAGGAATTTCTTTTACTTTAAGACACCAAGTTTGTGGCTTATTGAAATGTGCAGTCCTTCTGTTTGCTTATGGGGTAAAATATCTCCTGTCAACACTGGGAGGGTGGGGCCTCCCAAGAAATGGCATGGGATGGAAGTCAAGGTGGGGCACAGAGCATGAGAGGTTTCCTGCAGGCGGGCTGGTAGGAGGGAGTGAATTCAGACATAGAAAAGCACCATCAGGCATGACTAGGCAGAGTAGTGTCAGGCTGTAAATCAAGACACACTTTCATACCCTAGTTTGGCTTTTTGTGGGGGGTGTTGGGAATCTAGCTCAGGGGTGCTTTACCACTGAACCACATCCCCAGCCCTTTTTTAAATTTTGAGGCAGAATCTCACTAAGTTGCTTCAGGTCTCACTAAGTTGCTGAGGCTGGCCTTGAACTTGGTGATTCTCCTGCCTCAGCCTCCTGAGCTGCTGGGATTACAGGTGGGTGCCACTGTGCCTGGCCTCTGGCTTGACTTCTGATGTGTTATTATATTTCATTAAACCTTTGGAATCTCCTTCTCTATCAAACAGGAAAAATAATAATACCTTATCAAGCTATTGGAAGAATTTAATGAGATGGGGCAAGTTAAAAATAGTACACAGCATTCTAGCACATTTAAATGCTAAGTGGGTGAAATGCAGGCAGGCACGGTTCTAGCAACCCCAGCTTCCAGGTGAACAGATCCCTGTGTTCCAACTGCTTAAACGACACACCAGCTTTGCCAGGGCTGCAGTTCTAGATTGTGCCTGCATGGGTCAGAAATGATGCTCAGGGAACAGAAAGTGGGATCTGGCTTAAGGAATGGAGCAGGAACCAGGTAGATTCTGGACATTAGCCACAGGGAGCCCCAAGATACCAGGCAGCAGGACTAGCTGTGTCATTTTCAGGGCTCAGTAGAAAATGAAAATGTGAGCCACTTGTTCAAAAATTATTAAGAATTTCAAGAGGATAAGAGCAGAGCACTTAATTAAGCAGGGGCTTTTTTTGAGCTTGGACCCTTCTGAATGAGGGCCCTGAGAGAGCCCAGATTGCAGATCCTTGAAACCAGCCTGCCAGGTTTGGGATGGCGAGAAAATGAGGATAACACCTGGCCTATTATCTGGGCCAGCCCAGGCTGCCAGGGGCAGAGTCCTGCTGAACCCTAAGACGGAGCTGTTCGACTCTGATGTACAGGAACCTCAGGTGGCCTAGTACTAGTAGTGATGGAAGTAACAACTCCAGGGATAGCATTGCCTTCCCTCATAGCTTGTATTTATCGAGCACAAACCTTGTGCTAGAAACAAAGCTAAGGCCTTGTCTCTTTCCTGGTTTGCTCCTGTTGTTTTTGGCCTGGTTTGAAAAGAATTAGTAACAACACTGATAACACTTGTGCCAGGCTCTATTACCAGAGATTGTGCTATGTATTAAATCCTTTAAAAATAGAGACTATTTCCCATTAATTTTCATGCATTATCTTGGACCATTTTCTGTAGGAGTCTCTACTGCCCCCACCCACTCCCCATTTAAATTTTTTGGATATGGAACTAAAATGAAGAAAGGGTTTGTAACTTGCTCATATCTGTGTGTCTCCAAAGTCTGTGCTCTCGACATCTCAAGCATTGGTCCTTGTGGTGCATTTACTGGAATGGACAAACCTCGGCTAACAGTAAACCATCCACAACATGTTTTGCACACCACGCTTCCTCACATCCACCCTGGGAAGCACCTCTGGTATGCAGTTGGTGGATGCTGACATTTTGGGAAGCAGCTCATTGTCGAGATTCTTTTCCATCCGTGTGGATCAAGTATAACCTTCAAAGAGAATGACACTAATTTTCTTCCCAAGTGTGATATAATAGGAACTGTTCCCATTGGGATCAGAAGGTCTTAATTTTGGCTCCAGATTTCCCATTAGTCAGCCGTGTGATTTTGAGAATGTCATCAACACTCTCCATGGCATGTCTCCCCCATCTCAAGAAAAAGTTGGACTGAATTTAATTATTTTAAAGAGTATCTTAGCCAGGCAACATATGGGGCACTAGAGATACAAAAACAAGGAGGCCAAAAAAGCGCTCTGCTCTGACGAAGGGGCGGATCATCCACTAGCTCTGTTTAGCTCTATTTTTCTAGAATTATCCACATTGTCCTGATACTTACCAACATTATATTGTGCTGAAAATGAACAAATTCGTTGATTGTTAGTCCTTGCTCTCTCACCAGGTACCTCATTCTGCATAAGGACAAATTCCAACAGATAACTATTCAAGTTCTGAAACACTGGTTTAGTGTGGCATGTGACCCAAAAAGGTCCTCTTACTGGTCTAAATCCAGGTTTGTGGTAATGACTTCTAAAGTTCAGATTCAGTGAGATTAGACATGACCCTCAATTACTCTGGGTTGGTAAAGACAGAGACATCCTGAGGTCACCCTTGACATTCTCCCAGCTCACCTGTACCCTTTTCTAGGAGGCCTCTGGCTGATATTTCACATCGGCAGGCCTGGAGGCTTATGTCTCAGTAATTCAACAACCACAGCAGCTGGTTCTTTTCCCTGAAGATTTAATACTTGTCATTTATCTGTGTCAAAACTGCAAAGGAGCAAGTTTCCAAAGACAGATTTATTATGTGTGCTGAGTGTCTCAGGTGCAGCAGCGCATACAGATGGGCTGAATTCCATATTTTCCCTTGGCTTTTGTTCTATAAAAATAGCCACTTTTACTTTGCATTCAGACAAGTGAGAAATATACAGTCTTGAGCTGTGAGTCACCATGGGGCACTCACAGAAAGTCACATTACTATGAGGCTGGGTCCTAGACATTGGTTTCGGGGTCCGCTGTAGGCTTGCAGTGTTGGTTTAGCCGAGGAGCAGTTGTAACTGGAGCTGCGACATAATTTGCTAGGCTCAGTGCAAAATGAAAATGTGAAGCCTCAAGGTTAAAAAGCAGGAAAAAAGTGCAGTTACAGATAAAGCTTTTTCCTCTCTTCTGCGGTCTCTTTCTCAACTTGTCACGGTGTTTTTCATTTGTTATTTAATGTCATCCTAAGAAAAATTAAGGTTTTCAATTATTACCATGGATTTTACAGTTCATTTTTATATCATGCAATGCAAATATAAATGCAAATATAAGAGCATTTGACTTGCATGTGGAATCACTGAAATTTGCCATTCATAGTTTGCAGCTTCTCTCTGGAGGTGGCTTGAGCTGTTCAGAAGAGACAGGCCCAAGCCAGGCTAGGAAAGGGAAGAAGGAAGAAAGGATTCCCCAGGAATGGAGCTTGCTCAGGGTGGTCTCCAGAGTCGGGGGACACTTGTAGGTAAGGGTGTGTCTCCTCCTTGCACCTGAAGATGCACACACTCCTCCTAACTCAGGGCTATCACATTTCTTTTCCTGACTGTCTGAAGACTGAGAAGGCTGCTAAGGTTATATCAGGATATAACCCCATCATAAATTGAGGAGCAACCTGTACATAAAAAGAGGATAATAAAAACAAGCGATGTTAAAGAAATGAAACTGTAATTTTTCATAGACGTCGTGGTTGGAAAATCCAAAAAAATTTCACAAATTTTGGTAGGCTGAAAAAAAGTGTCCCTAACCAAGCCACATAGATACTGGGTCCTAATCACTAGAATCTGTGAATGTTATTTTCTTGGAAACAGGGTCCTTGCAGTGTGATTAAGTTAGAGACCTTGTGGTAGAGAGGTTGTCCATTACCTGGGGAACCCTAACTGGCATTACAATTGTCCTTGTAAGAGGGAGGCTGAGGTTGATCACACACCCACAGAAGGGGAGATAGAGGCTGAGATTGGAAATGGAGTGGTGTGGCCACCAGAGAGGCTGGCATCACCAGAACCTGGAAGGGGTGAGGGAGAGATCCCTTCTTATAGCCTCTGAAAGGAGTGTGGCCCTGAGGACAACTTGCTTTTAGCCAGCAAAAATGATTTTGGACTTCTGGCCTCTAGAATTATGAGAGAATAAACTTCTTGTTGTTTTAAGTCATTAAGTTTGTGGTAATTTGTTACAGCAGCTTTAGAAAATTAATAAACTATTAGAATTAATAAGTATAATTAGTAAAGTTGCCAGGTACAAGGTCAATATACAAAAATCAATGGTATTTCTATCAGCCACTAACAAGTAAAAAATTAAAATAAAATATTCCAGTTATAACAACATCAATAAATATAGAATTCCTAGGACTGAATCTAATGAAAGATATTATTGAGAGAAATTAAAGATGATTTAAACAAATGAAAGGATATATCATGTTCATGGATTGGAAATTCAATATTGCAAGATACATTTTCTCCCCAAACCAATCTATAGACTTTGTATAATCCCAATAAAAATCCTGGCATCTTTTTTTTGGAAAAATTAAGCTGATTCAAAAATTAATATGTGAATTCAAAGGGCCAAGAATAGCCTAGGGAATCTTGAAGAAGAATGGACAACTTACATGACCAGATGATAAGACCCCATATATATGTTTACTAATTTAGATAGTATGAAACTGTCACAAAGATAGAAAAACTTACCAATGGTACAAAATAAATTCCAGAAATAAACTCAATAAGTACCTGATTTGCAGTTAAAGCAGTACATGGAAAAAGGATAGTTTGTTTAGTGAATGTTGATTAATCAATTGTATAGAAAATATGGTAACTTTACTCTTTCACATTGAACAAAAGATCAAACACAGATGAAAAGCAGTTGTAAGTGTAAAAGATGAACATAATAATTTTGTAGAAGAACATATAGGATAACATCTTCATAATCTTTGAGTAGGCCAAGACTTATTTAAAAGGATAAAAAAATTGCTAGTTGGAAAAAGAAACATACAATGATAAACTATATTTAAGAACTTTGTTTTTTAAAAAAACACCAGGGAGAGGATAAAAATGTAAAGCATAGAATGGGAAAAGATTTTTGATGCCTACATCCAATAAAGAACTTATGTACAGAACATACAAAGAATTCTCACAAATCAATTAGAAAAGGATAATCCCCCCTCCACCTCCCCCATGGGCAAAAGTCTTGCATAGACACCTCACAAAGAGAACATTCAAGTGACTAAATAAATAAGTAAAATAAGGTGAACCATATCATCACAAAAATGCAAATTAAAGCCAGAGTACCACTATGTACTCACTACAATGGTTAAAAAAAAAAGTTTCAAATGGAGGAGAGTGAGAATGCAGAACAAAATGAATTCTCACTGCAGGCAGAAGTGCGAATCGGTACAATTGTTTTGGTAAACTGTTCATCAGTATCAAATAAAGCTCAAATGTATGCACACCTCATTACTTGGTTATTTCATTTATAATTGCACACACAATAGAAAGTGTTCATGCAGTCACCAAATAGTCAGAGCAGAACTATTTGTAATAGTAATTTTTTTTAGAAAAAGGCTATTATCTAAATATTCAAAAACAGTAAACTAAATAAATTTTGGCATGTTGATACAATAAGCTACTACACAGAAATGAGAATAAATCACTTACATTCATGCAATAATGTGCATAAACCTCATAAAACATAAGGCATACCTCAAAGAATGCCTATTTATTATTCCTTATGTGTAGAGTACAGACACAGATCAAGCAAATCCATACTGTTGATACTGCCAGTTACCGGTGACGAGTTCTGCTTTGTCACATGTTGAGGTATAACATTAGAGAAGCACTCTGAGGCAAGCATATAAAGCAGGGTTTATTTAAAAAGGGGTAACATAGACTTCTCCCGGGAGGGAGAAGGGGGCCATAGCTGGTATCCTGGTATCCCCAGGAATGAGGCGTTGTGCCTTCTTTGTATGTCCTAGGCTTCCTTTGTTCTCCTGCTCTCTTCTCCCTGCATATGTGACTAGGCCTAGGAGATGCTCAGTGGGATGGTCAAAAGGTGAGAAGCAGATGAATGGGGGAAGGGCCCATGGAACAGCCAGGACACATAAATTAACAACTTTCTAACTCCCTGTAGGAAGGAGCAATTCCTGGATCAGGCTCCCTTAGCAACAGGTTGGAGCAGGGGCAGATTCTTTTTTTTTTTTTTTAAATAAATTAATCTCTTTTAACTAGGTACATATGACAGCAGAATGAGTTTTGATTCATTATACACAATTGCAGCACAACTTTTCATTTCTCTGGTTGTACACGGTGTAGTGTTGCACCATATGTGCAGTCATACATGTACCTAGGGCAATGATGTCCATTTCACTTGATAAGGATGGAGGAAGGGCCCTGAAGAAATTAACATTTTAATTCCTCCATTTGCTGGATCTGACTCTTGCCTATCTGCCTGTCTAATTTTGGCTTCTCTGTGGGATATTAAGTTAAGAGCCACCCTTGTGTAGGCAAAGTGACAAGAAGGGACCACAAAGGGGGACCTCAGAGTGTTGTTGGGTTTTATATTTTTTAGTTGTGGATGGACAGAATGCCTTTATTTTATTTGTTATTTTTATGTGGTGCCAAGGATCTAACCTAGGGCCTCACACGTGCTAGGCAAGCGCTCTGCCACTGAGCTAGCCCCCATTTCTTGATCTCAGTGTTGGCTGCAAGAGTGTGTTTACTTTGCAAATATTCACTGAGTTTAACATTTGTACTATATGCATTAGAAAACCATATTATGCTTCAATAAAACATTAATACAATTTATACTCTATATAGTTATGACAGGGATTAAGGAAAGTAATTTGTTAACACAGGTCCTGGCACAATAGTCAGTATTCAAAAAATTGACAGCTATTTTTATTATCACTACATAGCAACAGTTATTATTTTCTGATGATCATCTGCTACGATGAACATCACCAGCTTCATTTTGAGTTGCTCATGTGGGTCTGATAAATGAGGCCCTGTCCAATTCTGACTCTGCGGTAGTGGTGTTGAAATTTGTCAAGATCTGTGCAGCAGCATTGAGCACCATCTGATTTGTGAACTGAACCCTGGTGAACAGTCATGTCTGTTGATATGGAATTACTGCTCTCTGCTTTCAGCCTCTCTCTGGAACAGTCTGGCAACTGAGTTCAAGAGCTGTGGACAGGCTATAACTAAGGTTTTCAAGAATCATCTCTGACACGGATTCCACATACAGGTATGCTATCAAGGTAAGGATCAGAAATGGCCTCTGATGGGATTTTTGCTGGGCCAGCGGGTTTGAAGAGCATTAGAGATGCCAACATGTCCACTGTACTCTCTTCCTCAACCCAGACTATTCTATTTGCCCTCTCTTGGAGGATTCTTACTGTCTCCACATTGTTGTCATGATCCTAAGGCCAAGTTCTCAAATAAACCCAGCATAATTCATGTTGAGCATCCCAGTCCAAAGGCTCAAAGTACCTTATAAAAGTATTGCTGTTGGAACCGTGTTTAGAGGTATGAGCCAGCCATGACCTCCCTCCGCTAACTGCCCCTCTCAGTTCTGGTGGTGGATGTGGAACTCAGGTTTGTACTTCGTTAACCTTTTCCCAAACCCCTTGGAGATAGACCTGGTGCAGCTGATGGACACTAGCTGGGCCACTTGTGATGCTTCTCCTGAGAATTTGAGATTGGCATTTGAAGACAGCAGCCAGCCACTTTCCACTGACTGGTTGAACTAAGACCACGTCAACTTGCCCGTTTCATGGAGCTGGTCTACGGAGGCTGACAGGATGACCTAGACACAGAGAGGAAAGCAGAAGGGGAACTTGGGGACAAGAAGGGAGAGAGATTGAGAAACTAGATGCTTTGGTTTCTGATAGTTCTGTCTCGGTTCTTGTTGCTTTCTTGGTCTAACCCAATTTTCTCCCATGTCATGAGATAACCTCATATGTTACAATGTCACACCTCATTATGTCATGTCCCCCCTTCCTGCTTAAGCTAGTTCAAACAGGTCATCCACAAACAGCCTCCATCTAAAATATAACACGTCGCAACAAGATTTTAAAATGTGTTGCTAAGTGGGAAATGAGACCTGAAGGTTAGTGTGGTGTCAAGAGAGAGAAAAGACACCCAGGGAAGCCACAAAGTCCTGTGTATTTACTGCTTAGCATCAGCATATTGGGCTTTACGTTTCCCAGCAGTCAATGCCAGGAGGATGACTCACCAGGTATCAATGACTGTCATCATTGACTGCATTTTACAACACGGAGAAAAATACTCCTAGGCCCCACCCCCAGAGATGGTGATTTAATTGGTCTAAGCCAGAGTCTGTGTGGATCTTCCCATCGATCCTAAAGTGGGGCTGGGCTGGACACCCTCAGAGTGACATGCTCCACAATAGGTAGAAATATAAATATGAATGAATAAACCAAAGAAAACGCAGCTCCTCACCACAAGCACAGGCTGTTCTGAGACTGCAGAGGGGAATTCCTCCAGTGGGTTCTTATTTGCAGGACAAATGCAATACAGCCAGCAAAGTTCTCCACAATAGCCTTATAGTAAATACTCAATTGTCCCCGAACAGGAGCTGAAGGGAAATCCCAAAGCACCTTCAGGAGAAAAATCGTTTCTCAGCACGGCCCCCTGGCCTCAGCTTCATTAATGGGTTTGAGAGCATCAGCCGTTTCCACCTGATTATCAGTGGTGGCTCTGAATCCCCTGAAGTTCTAGAAATACTAGAAGAGAGAAAGTGCAGGGCTGACGGATGATCTTCCTGACAGTTTTCTCACCATATGGAAGTCTTGTCTCTTGGGCTGTGTCCTTTTCATCACCTACTGCTCAGTGCAGCTTGCGGCGACCAGCCTTACTGGGGGCCTAGGTCCCCAGGACTGCTCTTTCCATAGGAAAATTAAGGGGCCAGCAAGGATGTGAGTGTGAATAGAAGGTAAAGAGGCAGATTGAGGGAGTCCTCAGTGGGCCAAGATTCTTCTTAGGAAGCATTTTGGATACACCCCAGTGCACAGACAAAAGGGCAATTGAGCCCCAAATGTTCTCCATCTGAGCAAGAACAGCAATAATTTTGGCTTGGAAAAAATTTAAAGCAGGTAGACCAAATACCCATCTTGTTCATAAAACATCCCAGTAAACACCCATGGAACATTTAACCTTGAGAAATATAGTTTCCAGGTGCCCTCTCTAAGCTAAATTCGTTTGCAAAATATATGACTATGTGCCTGAATTAGTTAACTGGTTCCTTAGCGTTATTGACCATAAGTTAGTTTAATATTGGAGGCTGTCTACCCAAAATGATGACTTTGTTTTTAGAAGCATTTGGTCTGTCGTCCTTCTTCACAACATTAATCAGGCAGCAGGTAAGTTATCTAGTAAGATCAGCTTGGCTCCTTGGCTCATGACACTAACTATGGTATCTATGCACAAGCAAATACCCTTGTTTTAGTCATTTTTTTTTTCATTTCGGTGAACAAATATCCCACAAGAACAACTTAGAGGAGGAAAAAGTTTATTTGGGGCTCACAGTTCCAGAGGTCTCAGTCCACAGACAGTCAACTCTCCTGCTCTGGGACAGAGGTGTGGTAGCACATGATGGGAGCAGGGCCCAGTGTGGAAAGCTCCTCCCTTCATGAAGGTCAGGAAGCAGAGAGGGGGTGGGAGAGGGCCACAGGTACCATGTACCTTTCTAGGGCACGTCTTGGCCATGTTCCACCTGCCTACAGTTACCACCCAGTCAGTCCATTCAAACTAGGATGGACAGGTTTCAGCTCTCACAATGTGATCATTTCACCTCAGAATATTCTTGCATTAATAGGAACTTTTGGGGGAACACCTTGTATCCAAACCATAATACTCCTCTTTCTTGTTTTTATAATAAGGGTGACATCCTGATTGATAGCTGAATCACCCAAAGGTAGTAGCAAGATTTGAGGTATAAGTTAAAAAGAATAAATATCCATTATACCTCTTTGGAAGATGCCATCTAAATTATCCAAAAATTATTTTTACTGGGTAGCTCCTAAATCAGGGGTCAGCAAACCATAGCCATTGGCCAAATTTTGCCCAAAGCCTATTTTCATATGTCCTGAAGGCTCAGATTTTTTAATTTTTTTTTTTACATTTTAACAGGTTTGAAAAAGTATAAAAAGAATGTCTTGTGACCACAGATTCAAATTTCAGTGTCATAAATAAATTTCTACTAGAATTGAACACTACCACCTTTGTTTTTGTATTGGCTGTTGCAATTTTCACACACCATAGCAGAACTCAGTAGTTGCAACTCAGACTGTATGATCTGCAAAGCCAGTATTTACTATGGGCTCATCACAGAAAGATCTTTCAAACCCCTGTTCCAGACACATTAACACCCACCTTAAGCTCATGGAATCCCGGTTTTCAGATCAAAGGCCAAAATACTGTTTGGCATCAGCAATGATCAGGAAGGTAACTCAGTGGTAGAACACTTGCCTAACATGTGGGAGGCCTTAGGTTCAACCCCCAGTACCACAGGAAAAAATCATCACCAATGATCTTGTATTATTCCTAACAGATATTTAAGAAATACAATAGTCAGTAGGAGAATAACCATGCCTAAAACATACCTGCCCCCGAAGAGAATCCAGGCCTGAGACACTCAGATCCCCCTTCTGATTAAAACAAAAACAAAAACAAAACAAAACAAAACAAAACAAAACAAAAGGACAATTGGTGCACATTTTGATGAAAGGTCAAAAAAGTAACATAGAATAAAGAAAATGGTCTTAAAAATAGGAGATATCAGTTTTTGAGTCACTGATTTAATTATTTCAACAAATACGTACTGATGATTTAATTATTTCAACAAATACGTACTCTGTGCTTAAGGACTTCATGCCCAAAGGGTTTGTTACAGAAGCAGGGCCCTGAATCAGACAGTTGAGGTCACTCTTCAATAGTTCTGACACAGGACACTGTGTTCGGGTGTTTTATTTAGCTTGGGGACTTTGTTTTTAATCAACCAGTTAAAATAAGATTATTACAAGGCCCCCGTAAGAAAGTGGCCTGAGATATACAAAGTTCCAATAATTGCCCTTGCTTTGTAAAGCTGTGACTATCAAGTGTCCTGTATCTCCATCACCAAACACATACCTCCTGTAATTATTTCGAGACTTCTTCCATTGCTAGTTTTTTGGGTTTTTTTTGTTTTTTTTCCTTCTGGCATGGATCAGTTACACTTGCAGAAGCTTACAATGAGATCAGGAGATGTCAGTGAGGTTTCTCTCTTCCTTGAGGTTTTTGTTTAACCAAAAGGAGGTGACTGCACACCTTACACTCTAGGATACAGCAGGGATAGTAATTATTTAAGTGATCAGCATTCTGCTTGGTAGGAAGCAAGAGGGAAAATATGTCCCTGGAGGCAATTAAAGCAAAGTTTAATAGCCCCCAGGTAGACACGAGTCCAAGAGCGTCTAATTGGCTTGGAGATGATGAATTTAAAAACAAGGAGTCTCTCCTACAATCTTGGAGGATATGAGATGGTAGGAAGCAATTCAATTCCCTTAGTCATGTGAGTCATCTGTACAGAAAATCAGAATTCCAGGGAGGGCTAGCCTGTGGGTCTTCTGGATTTTCAGGGGGTAGGGTAAGGTAAAGATCATTAAGTAGGAAGGGGTAGCCTCTAGAAGGAACAGAATGTAGCTTTTAGGACAAATATAAGAAAGAAAGAAAGACCCAACCTCTTCCCCTTATGGGGCCGGATGTTCTTCCACTTCCCATCTATGGCAACACTCTGGCTGGCTGTTGTAAAGAGGAATGGAAATTTGTCATAATCTTCATAGAAGAAAGGGAGAAAATGTATGAGATCACTTCAATCTTGAAAGATAGTAAGGCAGTTAGAAGGAGATTAAAACAACAATAAAAGAGCAGTGCACATTTATAAAGAATATAAATCATAATAAAGGCAAAAGGTTAGGAACTTAAAAATAACAATAGCATAAAATGAATGAGACTTAAAAGAAAATGTAGAAGGCTATGTACCCAGAAAATTAAAGGTTAAAAATATAAAAGTAAATGAGATGAAAGATTGAGATAAAAGGATAAAACCATAAGATAAAAAGTAAAAAAAAAAATACAAATAGATGATATTTAAGGTTTAGGAACTAAAATAAAAGTTAAAACTACAAAGGTAAAAATCTCACAAGAATGATGAGGTTAGAAAAATATCTTAAATAATGCTTACATGTTAACAATGGGTGTGAGACAAATAATAATAATAATGAGGAGGAGGAGGAGTGGGGGAGGAGGAGGAGTGGAGGAGGAGGAGGAGTGGGGGAGGAGGAGGAGTGGGGGAGGAGGAGGAGGAAGAAAAAGAAGGCAGAAACCTAGAAGAAATTAAAAAAAAAAAAAAGTCTTGGGTCAGCTCCAGCTTCTCCTGGTGGTCAGTCCCTCCAGAGTGGGAACCTTAAGGGGAAAGGAGGTGTATTTACTTCTTAGACTCAGCATCCACATAGAAATTAGCCTGGCAAAAAAACATGAGAGCTCTTGGCTCTCACCAGTAGTTTAAGGATGTGTAACTCCATATAAACAGATCCATAGGATTGACCCAAGTTTTCTTTGGGCAATTTTCAATAAGAGCATTGAGCACTTACTGTGTTCCAGAGAGTGGCCTAGGTGTCTTCACATCTGAAGTTTCATAGAATGTTCTTAGGAATCATTTCAGGTAGGTATCAACATCTCCATGATCAAGTAAATATAATTGCTTCAAAGTAATATAAGTGCTTAAAATTAGTGAAGCTTAGAATTAAACCCACATCCTGTCTTCTTTCTATAGCTTTCTTCGTCCTAAAGCCTCCAATGTTGATGGCCACACTGGGGAATGGCCCTGGTCGGTTGGTTTTAAAAGGTAAGTGTTGACTCTTAGCTATTAGGGATGAAGAAACCAACTTGTTTATTTCACAGTCCACTATTCTTCACCTTTCTCCTCTCATTTGTACATCATCAGGTGTATAATATTTATTTTCTGACTTTTTATTTTTGCCTCTAATCCTGCTTTTATTTAGGGTCACTGCTCACTGATGGTCTTACTCCCAGGCTACCCCCAATAACTTCTTCTTTGACTGGAACTCGTTCTCTATTATTTTCCTCAAGAAGGGCTCATGAGCACAAAATTTCCAGAGTTCTTGCATATTTGCATGGTTTGTTACACAGTTTACTCTTTCTTTCTTTCTCTTTCCTTCTTTCTGTTTCATTTGCTCCATTTTCTCATGCTTATCTTCTGAATCATCTGCAGTGTCTTTTCTTGTGCTTTTTCTACTATATTCTTTGTTTCTGAAAAAGACAGTTGTCTCCTATTTCATCCCTGAATTCTTCCAGTTCTCATTTCAGTTCTACTTGAATTTTTGAATTCTGGTATTTTGTCTTTTTCATCACTGTCACTGCATGCAGTAAGTCTTAGAAGTTTTTGATGGCCTGTTTGGTTACAGTGTATGTACAGAAAGTGTTCTTCATCTGCAGGAAAATTTTCTAGTCATTGAAAGTGTTTGGATGGATCCCGTGACTATTCAGCATTGTTATCAATTGCCTTAGATGGATTTCTAGACCAATAGTGTTCAGGAAGTTGCTTTGTGCATGTGTTGGGGAGGGCCGTGAGCTGAGTCTGAGAAAGAGGACAGATCTCTGGGCTTTGCCAACTCAGTGCTCCTTCTTCTGTTACTAAAGCAGCGGGCCATTTCCTTCCAATGTGGCACTCCTGGTAACCATCCCTGCTCTGCCTCTTTCCATCTAACTTGGCTCAGAAGCATTTCCAGAACCAACCTTGTTTCTTCTATTTGTTTCTTTATTGGAAACTGCCACAATGGAAACAGCCCCTGCTTTTCAAATGTGGATCTGTTTGGGCTTGCTAGGATATGCCATTCCTGGACTCTGTTGAGGACACTTTGGGCACCTTCTCTGTTGCTTCTTAGCCTTGCTCACAGCCGCCCCCACTTAGGGTCATTACACTCTCCTGGGAATGCATTATTTTTGTTAATGACTTTTGAGATCTGCTAGCCAAGCCCTTGTTCTCTGCTTTTCCCCTCTCTCCTTTTAGGTTTCTCATAGGACTGTGTTGGTCTCACGTGCTTTGGTGATTGCTTAAATGTAACTTGGAGATTATGAATTTTCTGTTTCCTAGTTTTATGTAAAATGGTGCTTATATATTTTCTTTCTTTTTTTTTCATTCACTGTATTTTTCTTTATGGTTTTTAAATGGAAGTTCCCCAAAGAATTAAACTAAATGGTGTTTTAAAAAAAAATTTCCCTAGAGATTTTACAGAGAAGAAATGACTATTTTAAAGAAAACAAGAAAAGGATAAACAAAATACAGGATAGTGGTTATCTCTGGCTGCAGAAAAGTGTGAAAGGCAGGAAAATCATTTGGAGAAGGAGAGTTTTAATGGTATTGGTAACATTTTTTAAATTGGTAGTAGGTTCACAGGTATTTACATTATTATTTACCATATATAATCATGTATGATTGAAATGTTGCATAACAAAAATCAATTAAAACATTAAACATTCATGAAAATTATATTTTAATGACTTGAGATATAATTATTGTTAATTTGACTGTGGTCAATAATATTATCATAATGGATTATATTGAAGAACAACAAAAAAGCAACCAACCTCACTACTTCATGTAAAAACTGATGACAGGAACTTTAAAGAGTCTAGGAGGTGTGTGTGTGGAGGGAGGGGTGGGTGTGTGTGTGTGTGTGTGTGTGTGTGTGAGAGAGAGAGAGAGAGAGAGAGAGAGAGAGAGAGAGAGAGAGAGTGTGCATGCATGCTACAGTGTCTTTAACTGCACTTTAAGGTTTTTTTAATTTTTAATTTTGATATAAACTTACAGAGAGTTGAAAGAACAAAGAATCCCATATATACTTTGCTTAGATTACACAAATATTAACCTTCTCCATAGGTGGATGACATAGCTGGTTCCAAAATGCTTCATTTAGTTTCGCTGTATTTTAAAGCAAAAGGGACTGTTGGACAACAACATTCTCATATTGGATTATTCTGTTTGGCTGGAACCAGGATATCTGCAGTGGAGACCAGAGATCTGGATAATAATCACAGTGTTTTCCCCTACACATCCTGTCTAATGAACCACTGGCTCTCAAGGTTCCATTCTGCTTCCCCGCCCTGCTCCCCAGAGGCAGGTCAGAGAGCACACAACAACAAGAAAAGCACAAACACTCTGCTTTTCCATACTGGCGTGGAAAGTTATGTTGTTAAGGGGGGGAAAGTTATGTTGTTAAGGGGGAAAAAAACAACCACCATGTGAGCCAGTATATACGGCATGTCCCATTTTTACAAATAAAGTTCAAAGGTCTCTAATCCTGTAGCTATCATCTATCTGTGAAGACCTTTGGTCTGTAGGCAGAAAATAGCAGGAAGGATGGACAGTGATAATCATGGTGTTTGAAGGATAGAAGGAAAGAGTTTCATTTCCTACTTGAATAACTTAAAAATAAGTGGTGGGTTTATAAATGATTTTTATTTTATTGTTTTAAATGTTTTTCAAATAAAAATAAAAAATAAAATGCATTTCTTCTTGTGGCAGCCAGCACTCCCAGATGAGGCCCTTGTCTTGAGATGAGCCCCTGCTCCCTCCTCTTGGGAGGCGGGACTCCCTTAGCTTTTGTGTCCTACTTTCACTGGGAATTATTATCTTAGTCACCATCCCCGTTTCTCCAGGACAGCCCTTGAAGTTCTCAGGCCAACATGAAAGTTAGCCCCCACTTCCAACCCCAGGTTTTTATTTTCTAAAGAAAAACTGACCGAGGAGATACATTAAACATAAGGAGATAAAAACAGCCAGTGAAAACACCTCTCCCTCTCCCTCTCCCTCTCCCTCTCCCTCTCCCCCTCCCCCTCCCC